CCAGTTCAACCATACTAATAAGCAAAAATGACTTTAGATAAACTAAAAATTGTGCTCATTGTTTTTTTATTGCTGAAGAATGTTGAACCTTCTTCTCCTGCATTCTACTGTACAGACGTGAATTTACTTTTGCTTCAGCCTGAGGTTTATTCATTACACTTTTTGGTGTGAAAGGGCTTTTATATTTGCTATAAATAGAACTTCTTATATTAAAAACAATCAAGCCCTGCTTATATTTAAAAAGTAACGCAAAAGTAATATAACGCATTACTTTCCATAAAAAGTAACTAAGTAACGTAATTAGTTACTTTTTTAGGGAGTAACGCAATATTGTAATGCATTACTTTTAAAAGTAACTTTCCCCAACACTGTGTATACTTGCATTTCTGAAAATAGCTCAACACAATCCAGTGTTCCCTGACGTTTGAGGAAAGCAAATGTGGAAAACAATTTGGATTATGATGGATTTGCACTAAATTAGTTTACAGTAGTTGCACACCAATTAAACTGTAGATGATTTATGGGATGACATTGTCATGTGTTATCAAGATGATGATGAGCTCCACACAAATAATATTAACTGTTCACCACTGGAGGGGGAAATCGTTAAGATTAAGAGACACAGCATCTTATATACATTTTGTAAGCCTTACACTTATAAAAGTATGCAAAAAAACAAACAAACAAACAAACAAATACTAGAAACAAGTGACATACATATACAACCAAGTTTAGGGTTAGTAAGATTTTTTTTAATGTTCGTGAAAGAAGTCTCTTGTCCTCCATTAGGCTACATTTATATGATTAAAAAACACAGTAAAGTAGTAAAGTTTTCTATTTTAATATACTTTAAAATGTAATATATTCCCATGATGGCAAAGCTGAACATTCAGCAATCATTACTCCAGTCTTCAATGTCACGTGATCCTTCGGAAATCATTCTAATATTGCTGCTTAAGAAACATTTCTTATTATTAGAAAACAGTTGTGCTGCTTAATATTTTTGTGGAAACAGTGACTGATTTTTTTTTCAGGATTCTTTGATGAATAGAAAGCTCAAAAGATCAGCATTTTTAAATTGAAATCTTTGAAATTTATTTACTGTCAATTCAATATCAATTTAATGCATCTTTGTTGAATAAAAGTATTAATTACTATCAGAAAAGTACTGATTTGAAAAGTACTGTATATAAACACAAATATACCATAAAAATAAGCAAGAATACATAATAGGGTAAGACTAGTGTAATCACTGAAACACCTTGCATACACTGCCATTAGTCAACACTGGTTCTCATGATTCCGATTATTTTTTGCCAAAAGTGCATATCAGCAAATAACCAAATGTGAACTTGTCATAATTCGAGGAATATCAATACTGTAAATCAAGCAAGTTACAGGCAAAAACAGAAATAAAATGTCAAAAAGTAATTTCTTTTTATACTGTATCAATACGCTGAAAAAGAATGAAAAGAATGGGTGTGTTTTAGGGTCAAATGCAGTCCATGTTAGCCAAATGCTAGCCAAATCACACATAGCCTACATATATGGGCTGTTATGTACAGGCTGCTTTTATCAACAGCTCTGTGGGCACATAAAAGATTCAAAAGTTGTGTGATGTATTTGTCAAGGGAGGCTACATTCAGTGCTGCTTTTCACAGGTACCTTTAAACACTATGGGAAAAAAAGTTCACCTCCCACTGGATATTCAGCTCAAGATTAATCTGAATTCATCTGCAGTAACTAGTCTCTCTTGAGGGTCTTACAACATCTCACAACAGTTAAAAGTGTTTTGATACTGACAGACTGACATGACGTCATCAAGCAGAAGTAAAAAATCCTCAGGAAAAGCACAAGCAGTATACAGTATGTAGGTATATATTTTTCATGAACTCCACTCCTGGAGACCCACAAATCCTGACACTAAAGCCAGCACAGACCTTTTGCAGCAATGTACTGCCATCAGATTGCTGCAAACAACTCCACCATGTTATTCGCTTGTGGCTGTCAGCGAGCACTTGTTAATTTCTATATGTCAGAATCGTAACCGAACGCAAAACAAAGAAGAGGCATCTTTGTCGGATGTGTCTAGGATGCATTTCCTGAGGCGTTATCTTTGGACCACCAAGGCCTAATATTACACTCGCAGGTCTTCTGGGAACAAACTTCAGCTTGCAAGTTGAAAACAAGACTGGCTTCCGACCGTTTCGTGAACCCAGCATCTGGTGATATAAATGCATGCAAAACTGCCTTCTAGGGCTCTGAGATTTCCTCCCTGAGACCTAGTTAGATCAAAGTTTCACTTCTTAACTAGTGCTCACGGCTAACGCAGGCTCAGTTTAGCTAAGTACCACTTTAATGGCACTGCTAATATGTATGATCAAATGTTTCACAAACAGTGCCTGGGAGAATAAGCCTGTACTGTTATGTAACATTGAATTTATTACACTCACCTCTGCTAATAAATGTTTTTGTTT